CCTTTATCTGGTCGACAGTTGATTCTATATGTGAGTCAGGGATTCGTTACGCATCATGACACATATTTCTCAGATGAACTAAAATAAAAATCTGAGGCAGTGAAACATTGTAACCATGGACTAATTTGTGTTAAAATGTGTTAAAATGACATTGATGCAACCTTCACTCCCATTACATGTTTATTCTCATTAAATACACACTCAAAGTTGGGAATAACTTTTTTATTTTCTTTAAATTTGTGCATTTATTTCAAAGAGTAAACTGTGTGCACTGCAATTTGATTTTCACAAAAAGGTCAAAATTAATTAGATGCTCTTTCATTTTTTTTTTTTGCTTAATTTTTTACACCCCACCTTTATAAATCATTACACAGAACTGGATTCTAGCATTCTATCAGAAGTTAGAGGCCCAGCATCCAATGTATGTGTGTTTACTATAATATTTGCTATAACCAGAATTCACATTTTGCTTTATTGTGAAGTAAAAATATCTTTATTTAAATATGATTCCTTTACATCATAAAAAATAGTTTATTTTCCCCCTGTTCTTTAAAATGAATGCTATACCAGAACATAGTTAATGTTGTGAGTTTGGAGGATGGGTGTATTTGGGTTTCTGCATGTTTGAATGTTTGAGTTGGCTCTGTGAATTTTAGAGAGGGCCTCCTACGCAACATAAGTGACCCCTTATGCTGGATTAACCTCCTGATGGTGTGTTTTGTGTCGATAAAAATTATTATAAAATTCGGACTGACTTTGTACAAAAACACTGCTTATAGAAATCCCATTTGCACAAGAAAATGTGAAGCATTGTTGCTACAGAAATGAAAGAAAAAAAAAACACAGAAGTAGAAAAGTGAAACGGCTTTACCCTGTGCAAATGAAAGAAAAAAAGAGTTACTGTGACAAAGCTGTAGTGAGAGTCTAGTCCATACAAACATAAATAAAGGGTCCAATAAATAAAACTATAAATACTTTGAATAAATAGTGTCAATGTTGTGTGATTGCTCTGAACTCTGACACGGTGAGGCGCGATGAGCCGCTGAAATGTTTCTGCCTTCAGACAGTCAGAGGATACTTCCATGGTTTTCAACACAAACATGGCAGCTTTTGCTCTTGTGGTAATGCTGCTATAAATGTCATTACCAATATCTGATTATGCATCAGTAAATCTTAGTTCTAATCTTTTTTTTTTTTACTTAGAAGAAAGATTAACGTCGTCATTATGAACCATTGTTGAGGCTGTGTGTTGGGCCAGTTGTGAGCAGCAGCCTATGGGGTAGCAGCTTGTAGAGCCAGAGCATTTGTGACTCTTACAGCACCCAGAACCCCGAATAATAAAGCCAACCATAATGGCTGCTAGTCACCATCCCAAAGTGTGAAAGGTGTGTGAACCTCTGAAGAATCTCCATATCTGTGACTACAGGCTGTTACAAGTACATCAACAATTCACTACTTATTGCCCCTAGATATGCATTCTCTGATTTAATTCATCAAATGTTTTTTATAGAATACCCCTCATCTATGGGAGAATTATCCTGCCATAATGCAAGAGCACATCATTTCAATTTGAGAAAAGAATTTCATCTTCTTGCACTCAAAACTTATAATGCTCACACTCCAAACATGCGCTCTCAGTTCTCTTCTCTCTCAAATCTTTATTTCTTCTCTCAGATTTAATGCTTCTTGCCCAGATATTTTCCCCTCTCTCTTGCCTCCTTCTCTTTGCGCACAAACCGCGCTCTGTTCGAGTC